CAAAGTCCATTTATGGAGCAGTTTACACAGCAGCAAGAGATGCAATTACAGTGACCAAAATGACAGAAAAATAGAAACAAACTATGAAAACAGTTTTTAAAAAATGATATGTATATAAAAAAATTATAAAAGTCCACGTGGTGTCGCATGTGAAAACATGACAAATTATATGTTCACTACAAAGGAAAGTGAATGAACAAAATAAATTCAAATAAGGAAAAATAAGTATTTTATCATATGCCAATTCACAAATTACAAGGTTGGGTTCTTTTACGGTATGGTATTCCAGATTTCCCACTGGAAAACTTCAGATGGAAAACTGAAATTTGATAAAAAGCACAAACAGACTTTGTGGTCTGTTCACATGTTACACCGACATTTCAGCTATGGCTCTACAACTACTTAAACAAGTCTGACAAGAGCCAGAAGAGTTTGAAAGACATCAAGGACCACATATAACATACAGGTTACTCACCCTGCACCATGGGTAATCTTTACCCTCAACCATTCCCCCTCCCCAGCTCCCCATTACCTTTAATGCTACTGATTTGTGAGATGCAAGACTTGCTTTGCTGATTTTGAAGTGCAAGGATGATTTCATAACTACTTGGTCATATTCACAGAACATAAGAGGTCAAAAGAATTCATTACTTTTTCCGAAAATAAGGGAAGAAAATTACATGCTTTTTCACAGTTTTTCAAAAATATTTGTGGAAATCAAAGCCTTCAATTAACATAAATCTGTTCACTTGCTCAATTTGCTCTGCTTCCTGTCGAGGCAGATGTTAAAAGTCCTGTGGCACTAATTGAAAAAAAGGGGTTTTCTCCCGAGCTCCTGAAGTCCTAGTCAACAATTCCCCAAATAAAATTGGTCACTCACTCCATCGCTGTTTGTAGCACATTGCTGTGCACAAATTGGCTGCCACAATAGCCTTTGGAGTATTTTTATATTTCAAAACTTCCTTGTTAAGGACTCGCCTTAAAGGGAATGTTCAATTTATATGAATTAATCTTTCTAGTTCATCAGTGAATCGCAAACTTTCCTCGATATTCAAAATAATCCTGTTCTGCTTCTTAAGAAAACCTTTTACTGTCCACTGAGCTCCCATTTCCATACAGCCATTATAACACTGGATGCAACCACCTTCCAGAATCCGGCCCCTGAGAAAAGGAACCTACTCAAGTAATAATAATAAATAATAATAATAATCCTTGCATTTGATATAATGCTTTTCACATCTTCTTGACGTCTCAAAGCGCTTCACAGAAACGCTGTAAAGTGAATTGACCGTATATTTGTGGGCGAAACAAAAGTAGAACATAATCCAAACATTGTTTGCAGAGCGTCACCTGGAAAATGTATCTTAATAAAAAGTGACAAGAAATAATGTGAACGGCTGTTAAATGATTAGCGGGATGGAATCCTTTCCTGAACAAAAACATGTAGATTTTTCCTTTGCTCTTCGACGATGCTTCTGAGGATCCTTTTCAGGCAGCAGAACGTCTATACTTTCTATCTTTCATCAGTTTTGAGGATTACCCGGCCATTCCTCAATGGCCAATGTGCAGAGTATAGCAATGTGTAAGTCCCTTCAAGGTTTATTTACAGGATCTATCAGTTATAAAAATAATGCCTTACAAGAAATAAGGAGTAAATGTTTGATTGAATTCTAATATAATGTGTGTATATATACAATATATATATAACCTCAAACGACTATCATCTATTTAAACGATGCCTGACATTGGATACAGATCTGAAAGCTCTAACGCCCAACTATTGAGCAAACAAAAGACTTTAAGGGTTTGTTACCAAATGGTGCCTTGAGTGTTAAGGTAAAATCCTGCCCAAGACAAATATTATCCATCGATTGTGTCAGAACCCATCCCAGAATTAAACTCCAGCTCAGGATAAATCAACCTCATCGATGAGCCTGGTTTTGTTTCAACATTGCAACAGAGTGGTCATCAATAATGGAAATTCTGCTTAAAACAAATATTTGACGAGAACATGAACACAACCTTCAATATTGTCCGACTGTTTCTGCAGACAATGGTCCATTTACCTATGTTATAAAATTCCTAATAGGAGGCGTGGGTTTTGCACTTTCACTCACCTAAACATTTATACCAGTAGACAAGACACAAGCAATTCATTTGAGTATTGAACAAATATAAAATTGCTATATGATATCGTCAGTGTTTCTTTAAATATTTTAGTAGCGAGCAATTGACAGCTTGCTCCAAAGAATCTGTAAAAATGTAGCTGAGTTATTAGTTGCACTAAAGTTAATCCTCAGGAAACAATGAGTGTGTATTTTATAGCTCCTCAGAATGTCAAAACACTTCAAAAGTAATTACTGTCAAGTCAAGTGTAGACAAATGTGACAACTGACCATGAGGTGCATGAGGTGAAACTATTTTCAAATTCTTTACTCAAAGCATAATCAACAACTGGAACAGGTTGTCAGGAAACGTCGAGGCCAGGACGCAAGACCCCATTTAAAAAGCAGCTTGATGCTGTTGGGGTGGAGAGAGGTACAGTGGGTGTTCTGAAAGGATAAGATTGGATAAGCCAAAAGGCCTTCTTCATCCAAACCAATCTTGTGATTGTGGTAGTGTATTGGTATCTTTATCAATCACCTGAACAACCAGACCAATGTTTGAATATCTCATCAAAAATAATAATCCTTGCATTTGATATTGCACCTTGTCACGTCGTTTAGAGATATCTCAAATCGTTTCACATAATATGCTCTAAAGTGAATTGACTATATTTTGTGGGAGAAACGCATCAGCCAATTGCACACAAACAGTCATGGAGTAAGTGACCAAATTTTCTTTTCAGAGATAATTGCCGCCAGAAACGTGATAGGCCAACTGACTAACAATCGGGTCCCTACTTGCTAGGTAAATAGAGGCCTGGGGAGTAAGGAAACTTGTCTAACATTTCGTCCTAAACGGGAATCAAACCAAAGTCCTCTCGTTGCGAGGCAAGTGCTCTAACCACTACACTGCAGGACTCCATGAAAAATAGCTCCTCTGACCTTGCAGCACTGCTCTAGATCATTATCCTACAATGAGCTTAATTTCCAATGTGTGGCTTGAATCCATTCCTCAACTTCTGAACAAGAGGTGAGAGTGCCACCAACTAGACTAAGCTGCTACCAGAAGTGTGAAACCATAATTATGTTGTATATGTCTCAGGACATTCAATGACATATTGTGTCAAAGAACAAGATTCTCACTCAGACCCTCACTAAATATATCAAACTTTACTAAAGAAATCTAAAAGCTAACACTTGGATTGTTGTCTCATTAAACAAGCTCTCTACACCAGTAGGTATTTGATTCACCAGTAAATTTAACTGGAAGCTTCAGCAAGTTTGGGCTCCTGAATATTGCACATGGAAAAGATTACAATCTCTGGCCCACAAATTGATTCATTTGGACATCCAGTCATCTATGACACTTTAATACAGAGTGTTCTTGATTTTATTTCTCCAACCAAAGCTTTCCAACATCAATCTCTACTCCTCGCTTAAGCCAAACAAGTGCACAGGGAAGTAAGTCACTGTTAGCCATGTCATTTTGGAGTCAATTTACAAATATTTTCAGAAACATTATTTTTGGTAAATCAGTTATTTTTAAATGGATTGATCTGTCTCACTGAGCTCAAACATCTGTACATTTTATTCTTAACTTTTTTCAATCTTCTAAAACCGGGTGACTAACACTCGGGAATAGCTCCAAGAGCACCAGAAGCCTCCAGCACTTCACTCAACTAGCCATTCTTTATGTGTGTGCCAGGATAGCAATTCTCAATCAGCTATTAAACCATGGGAAGCATCAAAAGCAGAACCCAATCCTGCTCTCACATCGTGTTCACACACACGTGCGCATGTTTCAGCGGAACATTTTTTTCCAGTTCCAAGTTTTCCAATACCACACTGGCTCAGATCAGATGGCTGGCTCAACACAGACCAAGGAAAATAATCAGACACCAATTACCTAGTCTGTACTTCTCAGTAGCACATTACTACTTCAACAACAACTTGCACTACATTCACTGCATATTTTCGCCAACAAAATATACAGACACTGCACTTTGCAGTATATTCTGTGAAGCACTTTGAGGCATCTCGAAGATGTGATAAGGCACTATATCAAATACAAGGATTATTATTATTATTCACTGACCCTTTGGGAGAGCATCATTGCTCATCTTTTGCAACAAAATATTTTAACCTTGCTTTGCAATGATATCCAGTGAATCCTGTACGTGTGGTGTTCAGCCTTACATGAAACTGAAAACTCAATCCTATAACAAACAGCTGCTTTCAGTATGTAGAATTTTCAAGTGCTCACCAACCACTACTCTCCCGCCTCAATGTGTACCAGAGATGTGTTGGTTGGATCACAGAGAGCTGGGACTATGAAGGAGACCGCATTTTTTAAAATGTGCATTGTAAAGCTATTGAAAGAAAAACAACTATAATTGGGTAACCAAACATTTAACTTTTCAACAACAGCTTGCATTTATATAGCGCCCTTCATGCTGGGTTGCTTTTTACAACTTAATGTGGGAAATTTCACTCTACCTCATGGGCAGTCAAATATCAATGGCAAAATACGCATAGTCGCACTGCTTTACAGTATATCATGTGAAGCACTTTGAGATGTCTCGACGACATGATAGAGTGCTCGATCAAATGCAAGGATGAAAGGTTAATTCTCAATCCTACTGAATAACAAGGGGCGCTTTAACTTACCATTTCCCTTTTTGCTCATTGGATGACTCTTGTTTTCCTAAATGTGAGTATATCAAGGGTTTATGGAACTTGTGTGTGGCATCTGATGATTAACTTCAATTACTCCTTGTGTGTGTATGTGAAGGGGGGGTTGGGGGAGGTTTGAAATTAACCAGTTATGGGCCCATTCAGAACCAGCTAAATTTGCTCTACTTCTTGGGTGTAAAAGTGCAGTCAAGATTTACTCACTGGCTTTGAGTGCTGACGAAGTGACTTCAATTTCTCCTGTGATGGGCTGGAAGACTGCAAGTTGAGCTGCCATCTCACTGCCAAAGGTGTCTGGGCTGTGCCTGTCTGTCAGACTGCCATTCGCAACATCAGCTTCATGGTGCAACTCCTGCTCCTCATACACAGCAACAAGCTGCAGAAAACAGAAAGGTAGGCAATCGTTGAAACATACAGCAGACACATGTTGGAAACATTGCCGGCTTCTCACTCTGACTGCCTGGATTTCTACATAGACTGCGCAGGCACAAAAGGCCTCCCAACTGTCCCAGCACCAGTTGAAATGCTCGAGGGCACAGCTGCCGGCTTCTTGCATATACATGCAGCACAAAGAAAGAGACATCAGTGACAATCTGACAACACAGAAACTCTGACCGGCGGCCATATTTACAACACACCTTGTCATAGCACGGGAGTCTAATTTTAGAGACCCAAACTGTTACGTAATGACAAGGTCTGACTTCATGTTTGTTAAAGGGTTTACTGAACAGCTGGTAAAATCTATGTCAATTTGCCACAGTTTAGACCCCCAACTATAGAGAAGCGGGAGGGGAAATGACAAGGGCTGCAGCATATAGGAGCAGCACCACCACAGAGTGGAGAGAAATTGGCTTCAATTGTGACACCTCGATGTGCCTGATGATAATAATAATAATAAAATAATAATAATAATCCTTGCATTTGATATAGTGCTTTATAGCACTTTTTGTAGCGCTTTTATTCACGTCTTCTAGATCTCAGCTAGTGCCAAACTTGGAGAAATCCATCACTCAGGTTGCTCTTGTGCACAACCTAAAGGCTGAGTGAAGAACAGTCCTGGCAGAATGGCACAAAGCAGATTTGCTCACCGACTCACTTCAAGAAAGGACACATCATTTCCAGTAAAAATCAGGTTTATTGTTTGTCTGGGGCATGACCCACCTGTGAAATCAGACCACAGCCACACAAAATAAATAGAAGACAAAACAGTCTATTGAAGGGTTCAGCTGGTGAGAGTTCCGAATAGAAAGAGAACTCCAAAACAGACCGAAAATTTTAAACCCGCCCTCAATTCCCCAGGGTACTTTCAAAACACTTCGAAAGTGGCACTCACACCAAGCTGAAATGCAGCAAACTTCTACTGTATTAACTAACTACAAACCACTTAGAGGGTTACATCACTCCAAAGCACAGGACCATTAATGGATATTACATTTATTGAACTGATGTCAGACATGATGTGGAGGCACACTAAGCTCACTGTATATTTGGAAAGTTAGGGAAACCATGTTGAAAAATCATTATGTAGAAAAGGGTACGTTACAGATTGATCTTTCAGCAGCTTGTCTCGCACGTCTCCTCCTGGAATATTTAACTTTTAATGATTAAAGGCATGCTTTGGTAATTTTTTTTAAGATAAAGGGGCTTTGCTATTATGGTACAGTATTTGTGAAAGAAGAGTTAAACTTCTGGGTAAGAAAAAACAGAGTAATATCACTAGAGTTTGTAATGCTGCTTAAACCAATTACTCCATTATTGTAATACTTCCATGATTCTAGCTAGGAATTTCCCCAAATAGGTAGCTGGCACGTCACACGCTATCCTGTGAAGGTCCTCCCACCACCATGAACGCAATGTCCTTCAGAAAGCTGATGAGGAAGGTTTGAGGCTTGGGGGACAGCTACTCAAAGGCGTTACCTGGAATCTGAGTTCATGAATCCAGCACTTGAAATCCACCATGATTGATTTGCAGAGAGGAAAACAGTTGTTGCTCATGCTCCGCACCTCTAACTGGTGAAACCTTCTCTCAATGCGAAGGGATGCGTGTCCGATCTGTGGGTGGGAAGGTGGTGGCGATGCTCTCATGCATTTCGTGCTGAGCTGTGTTGCTCACCAGGAAGCTTACAGGGAGTTCCTGGTACTTACCAACCAACTAGTAAGGGCTGAAACTGTGCTGTCAAAGGTCAAATGACTATCCTCAGTGTGGGGGGAGAAGAGAAGAATGTAAGCAAGATGTTGCACAAATAGGATCTCCTCTCAATAACCAGAGGTACGTCACTCTGACCCACAGTATTCCGCGCTGATCACATCCACTTCCAGAACAAAGTTCCCATGCGCTGGCTGGAATACTAACAGATTCCTTATGAAGAAATCTTGTTAAATAATATGACAAATTGATCCCTAAAGAAAACTGAGGCACCAAGCTGACATCCCATGGCCTCTTTTGTTACTGGAACTATCTGGTTAAACAGCAAAAAAAAAACAAGCCTAGATCTACAGCTAGCAACACTTATGGAAGTAATATTCCATAAAATGAACACTTTCAGCCCCTACTGTGATTTATGCTTCTGCGTAAATTACATATTTTAAACATACAGTGCTATGCACTGAAATTACACTCAATCGCACTCCATACCGTGTCTAACATGTCTGCTTTATGTCCAATGTTATTCCAGAAAAGCCTCAGCAAGACAGAAACTTTGAGGCAACAGCGAAATAAAAACACCAGTTCAGAATTCCATAAATCTTTTCAAGCGAGTTAAAGAGAGCACTGAAAAGGGAAAGAAAATTAGAAGAAATTGGATATTAATTCCCAACAGAGAAATATTCCTTACAACTCAGCACAGCTTTGTGGCTAACTGAACCATTTGTTTAAAGGGAAACCACTGTACTTGTATAAATACCACAACTGATGATGTAGCTACCTTACGCATCAATCTGCTGAAGAGTATGTCTAATGGGCCCAGCATGTCCAATCATTTCATGTTGATTAATCCAATAATATGGAAAGACATTCTGCAGAAATCTCGCAGCCAGACTGCCTGGTGACGTTATATAGCATTTGGGAAGCCTGGCGACAACGCCACCTGAGTCACACAGGCCATTGACTCGGCACTAACCTCAGTCACGAGACTGCAGCTTCGAGGCTGCTCTCTCTGTGTGTCCGGTGCTGCTGACTGCAACACCAAAGCGCTCGCCACAGCACTCTCTTTAAAAATAGACTGTGCCTTAATAACAATGGCGATTTACCATCACTGATCCCACATCATGGGAATTGCAGGATTTTTAAATGGGAGGGAAAAGTGGGGAAACTGCCCAGCTTTATTAGTGAGGAGCGCAGAACAGAGAGTCAAAAAGTTTGCAATGTTTCACACCAGTTCAATTGGAGACTCGTGTAGAGAACAAACACTGGCAGGGATCAGTTGAACTGTATATCTGTTGTCTATGTAGAGAGTGCGTGAAACAAAAGCTGGTAACGTACGAGTAGCCAGGCATTAAAAACAAAACATTTTCAATGCATGAAAATAAAAATGCAAATGGAAAAAAAAGCTGCGAATGTTGGAAGCTTGACATACAGCAGCAAGTGCTCGAAATGCACAGCAGGTCAATCAGAGCTTGAAAGAGAGAGAAAGGCAGGCATTTTTATCCTGAAACATTAACGTGCTTTTCTCTTGCAGATGCTGATTGACCTGCTGTGCATTGCTTGTGCTCCAATTTTCATTGCGGGTTGCTCACTGCAGAAGTGACACTTGTGAACCAATGAGGTGTGCCATCTCACCCTAGCATTTTGGACCATATTGGGGGAAAAACAAATGCAACTTCACTCGTCACACTGAAGACATTTAAGTAGTGAAGAAATTTCAGCAACAAAGGAGGCCGTTCACCCAATTGAATATGCTGAACATACAAGAGAGGAAACACCCTGTATTTATGTGTGCCCCCCCCACCCCTTTATTCTAGTTTACACAATGCAACAACAACAAAAGTACTTGCATTTATGTGGCACCCTTCACATAGGATAATAACTCGGAGCCTTTCACAGTAATGGGGTCAGATGCCGATGAAGGGAGAGGTGGGAAAGAGAGGTGACTATAGGCATGTCAGTTGAAGAGGAATAGGTAGGCTTTAAACGTGGGATTTAAAGACAGATAGAGAGGAAGCACAAAACAGAGAAGGGGGTCTCAAATGTTAGAGGGTAGTGACCAAAGGTGGCGCAGGGAGTCAGGTGGGGGGGCATTGTTAGCTGAGCAGAGGGCATGAGTAGAAGAGTGGGTATGAGAAGATCAGAGATAGCACAGTTCAAAACCAAGCAACATTTATGTTTCCCATTACCAGGAACTCAAAGGGTTAAACAGTCAGTTTAATGAGTAGGTTGGGATATTAAAAGCTATCTTACTGTAATGAAGGATAAATCAATATGACAATTGTAATCTTCTAATGTTTTGATCTATGAAAACTAAGGAGTAATTGAAGAATGATTATTTTTTTTCCGTTCCTGCTTGTTGAAGACAAGTTAAATTCAGAGTAAATAGCCACTCATCCTACGTTAATATTAAAATAATTTATTTTCTGTGCTCATTAAGGTGCTGGGCATCCAGCTTGACATCAAATCACACTGCGCTTAAGCGCTCCAAGACGCCACCAGGATGAAGAACTCTATATAAATGTTATAGTTATTGCTGGGGATGAAGTGCTCTTTTCCTCTTTTGTGGGCTTGCACATTCAGATACTGATTGCAAAGCAAATCTATCCGAACCCCTAAGAACAGCTCTCGGTGTACCAATGTGAATCGTTTCGATTCCCACACCGACCAATTCTGTGTCCAAGGGACGTCACAAGAATATAAGACGTTATAACAAATGCAAGGATCATTACTATAGGTGAGGGCTCTCACCCTACCATGTACCACAGTGCTCAGTTACCCTGGGAATAATGGGATCTTTTACAGGGTATCTGCTTTTCCACCCCCCAGCCTCCCTTTCACACAATATTGCAGATACTCCACTTGCATCTGCTTGCAGCTTGAATGGCCAAATCAGAAAACAAGGAAAGAAATACTTTCATCTCGACATCACAAATCAGTTACAGATATCTGGGCAGAATCCTGACCTGCAGTGTGAGCAAAGATACAACCAGCTCTTTGGTAATTGAAAACTGTGGCTTGTGTCTCCCTACCTGCCCAAAACAATTTGCAGCCTCCAGGAACAGGTGAAAGGCTCGAGGGAATTTCACCCCTTTGCTACACAAACTATGACATAAAATAAGGGAATCTGATTAGCCATAAATTGTATCTGACAAGGGAATCAAAATGCTGTCAGACTCAATGACATGGCTAAGGCATCTGTTCATAAAGAGCTTACCCCACTGGCAAAGTGA